GGTGATGATATTGACAGTTTGTCTGCCAACTGGTGACAGTGCTGTAATCGTCGTTCTTAAAAGCAGACGGGGTGGATCATGACATGGCGTTTTTTGTCATGCCTTTTGCTATAGCGCTAACGTTCGTGATTGTCGCCTTTATATATGAGAGGATTTATTTTGTGAGCCGAGTGTGATTCTCGGATCCCCTACGCAGAGAACGATTAAAAATATATTTTTGATTCCTTTGCGTTCATATCCGGCCAAACGGCTTTGATGTACAATGAATCGGAAAGAGATCTAGTGCGTAAGACTGTGTGGAAAGTGCTAAAGATTCAGTAGAAGATGTGTCAGAGATTACTCTTCATATATCATTACCTGCTCGTCAAGATATTATAAAGCGCTCCGGTACTACAGATTTTATCAGACCTGCTCTGCTATAATCGAAAGATCAGCGTGTCAATTCCCAGTTTCCTGAGTATACTAAAAAACAGCCATCCACGTCACATGTGCTGTAGGATGTGTGTTACTCAGGGACACGTTACAGGACTCGAGTGCACTTGTCAATATATAGCACATTACTAATTCACATTTATTTTCAAAAGGTTATTCCAGAGTGGTATTACTAGGACCGATGTAATAATTAGTATGTACAAGAAAGAAATCACATACTCTGTTGACTAGTAACTGGTGTGGGAGAGAGAGATTCTCCATCAAGTCATCACAATGAACATTTTCTCGATAAGGTTGTTTACACAACTGTCAGTTTTTAGACTAGAGTACTTAATAATATGACAATAGCCCATATATGTAATTACAAGTTTACTGTACTGTGATTTTATATATATATATATATATATATATATATATATATATATATATATATATATATAGGAAGTGAGACAAAGTACTAAATTACAACGATTCGGTGCCCTATATATATATATATATATATATATAATAATATGTATATATATATATATGTATCTATAAATCGAATAATGGTTATGGTTAAGGAGATGTCTCCTAGAACTGAGTTCGATCCTAACTGGGTGCCCCCTACTTTCGACCTTGTGCGACATCACCACATATATATATATATATATATATATATACATATATATATATATATATATATATATATATATATATATGTGTGTGTGTGTGTGTGTTTTGTATACTATTTGGGTAGCAATCCTCTTCTATACAAGTTTTTTTTAAAGACGACTGACATGATACTGCGATGCAAATGAAATATTCATTTACGTGATGTGTCCCTTCACGAAGTGCGCGATTATGATTCCCCACATCTTCCTATCCGCTTAACTTTCACCAATTTTTTTAACTCGCCATCCCATTCTTCGTTCTGTCATCCAGTTACACAAGTTTGTTAGGTAGACTACGAGCTGTTTTCCACTGCTCGTCTTCCTTTTAAAACGCCCTGTGAGTATCAAATTCTACAAGCCCTCTTACCTCATATGTAACATAAAAATGTTAACTATTTATTTTTGAGTCTAAGTACAAGTGTCCTTTCTATCACAATTTACTTAAAACTCTCACTAATCACATGCTCTGTAGAAACCTGCGCATTCGAGAAATTCTCATAAAGAAAATGTGTTCTCCGGCAGGTTTCGAACCTGCGCCCACCTTCGGAGAGGGGAAAAAAATCACCTTTTGCTCTACGAAGAACGTCGAGAATGATATTTTGGGTGATGTAGATATACTTTCCGTAAAAAAGGAAAATAGATCTTTACTTACTGTGGCATTCTTCGTGGCCGAGCGGTAAACACGCCGTTTCTAAACGGTACTCCCCCCCCCCTTACAAAAGTCGGACGTGGTTTCGATCCTTGCCGGAAAATATTTCTTTTTTTACGGGGGTTTCTCGAATGCTCAGTATGATAGACGTAATACACAAACTTTTTTAATAAACACAAATGCGAAGTCGATTTCAAATACGAAAAGTCTAGTATAATAACGTTTAAAGTAATATATATATATTTCACAAAAAGAAGTTTTATATTCAACCGACAATGTCTGTCGGTTTAATTTTTCTTGTATCTCCTTCCTCCTATTTCCCGTTGCTCCATAAAACTATTTGTAGCTTCATAAAACTTATTTTTACGGATACGTCACTTTCGACTGATTTGAATTCTTGCGTTCCAAACAATTGATTAATTTAAAAAAATGCCAGGTTATAGCAACCAAATCTTATCTACCATATTGACAACATCTTGTTCTTGACAATGACTGAGACGGACGAAAGTATTTAAAGAAAACAACAAATAGAACTTCGGACAATTTATCCACAATTTTTGTTCTGATGTACAACATCCATGAAAACTGGAAATATACAAAGAAAAAATTAGACAGACCCTGTCGATTCAATCTGACAAAAATTATATATATATATATATATATATATATATATATATATATATATATATATATATATATATATATATATAATAAGAGAGAGAGAATTAATGTGAGTAAAATTGTGATTTAGCTGATTGATGTTACCTTGAGCATCCCAACTCCAGAGTTTCGTAGACGGGCCTGTTCGTCCACGAATGTTATTCCGTGAGATAATGGAAAGTGAGCTTATCTAGCGAACTATTATCACTGTATTACGTATCCTATACTCTCTGGGTGTCGCGAACCTGAGACCCTGTACTGGGTTTAAGAAATATACCCACATAACTGATTTATGTAGTTTTAAAACTTTTATTAAGAACTGAACTGCTAGCGAAAGACTTGAGACAACTGAACTTTAACGACAGCAAACGAAAATGTAATTTGCCAATTTGATAAATGCAGTCTTTAACAACCCGTACCCCACAATAAACTTGGCCTTGAGCCACATCCGACCGCGTGGGGTGGTAGGTGAATATCTAACACCTCTCCCTTTATGAGCTTCTATTTGTGGTTAATTTTTACTTTAGCGCATGCGTTCACGCTACCCAACATCCGCACAATCAGATACATACATTGATTTCTTTTTCTTTAAGAATGTTTTTAGTTATGCAAGTATAATCATCTTTAGTTACGTTTTCGACACAGCTGTAAACAAAAAAGCATTATCGTTTGTTCAAGTGTCAAGGGCGACTGAAGCTTGTGAATCATAAAAAGAAATGTAAAGAACAAGCTCTCTTCTGTCTTGAATAACAGGTGGAGCTTATTTATACAGGAAGGCTATCATTGACAATTTTTCCTTCGTGAGAGATGTGACCAAAATCACCAAAAATAAATAAATAAATAATATATATTCTGCAGGTAAAAGAAAGAAAATAGAATGAAAGACGTTTGGAGTCAGAAAAGACGGTCACCTCCCACACGAACAGAGTTTTAGGTATCAGTTGCATTGAAGGTCACAAGGAGAGAAGAGGAGTAAAGACCTTCCTAGTTGAAACAGAGAGGTGAAGTTTTCGGACGAAAAGGCGGAACTGTCGGCGTTCAGATGAAAAAAAAAAAAACTAATTTTGAATAACAATTAGCTTCTTTTTTTTTTTTTTTTCATCTGAAGCCGACAAATAAATATTGTTCGGAAAATAATTATGTTTTATCAGAAAAAAAAACTTCAGTTTATTTAAATATTTTTTACAAAAAAAAAAAAAAATACATTTTCAACGGCTGTAGCTTAACGGGAAGGTCAGTTTTCCATTCTGTGTTTTAAAATATGTTTTTTTTCCCGAAAAAAAAATTAAGACTTTTCAACTTTTTTGTTTCAGAATGTTCTGTCATTTATTAAATGAGATCTAGTGATGGAAACAAATGAAAACCTGTAGGTGCTAAAGATGGTGATTATGAAGGAATTGAAAGAACTTTCTATAATTATCATCTTATTTTTTATTGGCTTTGTTTTGTAGAGTATACCCCCACATCATTGTCATGCTGGAGAACAGCAGTATTTCTGTTTAACAAAGCAAGACACTTTCAACATTATGTTTTCGTTTACCTAATCAGGTTGTTGACAATAAACGTCTGCAGTGAAGGTCCTTCCACGTTCCATAAGCTCGCAATAGATGACACATTTCATATCACACCAGTCACAAAGGAAGGGCTTCTGTGGATGGAGTTTTGATGATAGCATAGGTTTCTCATTTTGGAACAACCGCTGTTATTCCTTTTTATGCTGATATGCAAAACCCATTTTTCATCACCTGTAAAAAAAATGCGATGCAAAAATGACAGTTTGGCATTCCGCGTTAAAAGGTTGCTGCAGATGGTGCAACGTTGTGTTCGGTTCTCAAGCGAAAGCTCACGAGGAACCCAAATTCTCTTTAAGTTTTCTTTTCAATTCACTTTAGATATTTGTGCACATAACGAATTAAATTTTGACGCAGACATTTCTGGTGCTTTGACATCGATCTAGTTCAGTAGTTTCTCACAAAAGTTCTTAATTTTGATTGGGTCGTCTTCCAGAGCGTAGCAAGTTGGATATGTCACAATCACTATTTTTAAACCACGATTGACATGTATGAGTCATTGCTGTATCATTATACACTGAACAAATGTTTTTTAAATACCTCTTTAGGAGCACTAAATTTTCGGAATTTATACGGTTGAATAATGGATAGCGGTTCGGATTGAGGATTCGGATAGCCGAGGTTGAATTCCAGTCGAATCCATAATATTCACTTATGTGCTAATACTTGGGAATGGTATGAATCCTCTTCTCCCCCAGAAAGAAATGGCAACCTACTGCAGGAAAAATATGCCTCGTTAGTCATGCATCAAAAGATACATGATCGTCTAAGCGTGTATCACGCATGACACATCATAACTGACTGACTGAATCCTCCATAGTGCTAAACCCAGAAATGTATTATAAATGACAACCTGTTGAATAGAGGTGATAAGAAACTAATTCTAGACGCAGTTTCCTATTATTCAACATTGGTTCAGTCTTGGTTGGTTGACTCATAACGGTGAAATATTTAATTACTTTCCGAACAGAAACTAATTTGGTCGAGGTTGTAATGCAGAATAACAAGAGAAGCACGAGTAGATTAAAGCAAAATTTATGGAAGAAAGAGAGGGCGGAGAGACAACGAGAAAGAAAGAGAGGGCGGAGAGACAACGAGAAAGAAAGAGAGGGCGGAGAGACAACGAGAAAGAAAGAGAGGGCGGAGAGACAACGAGAAAGAAAGAGAGGGCGGAGAGACAACGAGAAAAGAAAAGAGGGCGGAGAGACAACGAGAAAGAAAAAAGGGGCGGAGAGACAACGAGAAAGAAAGAGAGGGCGGAGAGACAACGAGAAAGAAAGAGAGGGCGGAGAGACAACGAGAAAGAAAGAGAGGGCGGAGAGACAACGAGAAAGAAAGAGAGGGCGGAGAGACAACGAGAAAGAAAGAGAGGGCGGAGAGAGACAACGAGAAAGAAAGAGGGGGCGGAGAGACAACGAGAAAGAAAGAGAGGGCGGAGACAACGAGAAAGAAAGAGAGGGCGGAGAGACAACGAGAAAAAGAAAGAGAGGGCGGAGAGACAACGAGAAAGAAAGAGAGGGCGGAGAGACAACGAGAAAGAAAGAGAGGGCGGAGAGACAACGAGAAAGAAAGACAGACGGACAGAGCGTGAGAAAAACTGTAAGAGAGAGTGATGGAGAGAGAGTGGAAAGTATGTGTGAGTGAGAAAGAGTGAAAAAGAAAGAAAGAGGGTGAAAAAGAGTCAACAAGAGAGAATCAGCGAAAAAGAAAGAGAAAGATTGAAAGAGAAAAGGTGTGAGAGAGAGAGAGAATGTTGTGAAATAAAGAGTGAAAGTGAAATAAAGAGAGAGTGAAAGAGAGGTAGAGAAAGTGTGTAAGGATCAGAAAACAAACAATTTGCTACATTGTGTAACTGAAATTTTCAGTGATTCCTTTTTTTCAAAAGCAAAGATTGAACGAATCAAATTGTTGAAATAAGAATACAGAATGCTTCCGATCAGTACAATCAATCTGTACTTGTATCCCTTATTTAACAACAACATCGCCTTTAAGTCTTTATTTTTCTTTTTTGTTTTGTAACACTTACATATCCTATGGTTTGTAACTGATGATAGTTGTTATCCACATACACATCATTATTATTTTAATACCTTGCCCTTCCATGACGTACGCGATCATGGCTCTGCATAGATTCCTTTTTTTTTTGCGAATTACCATACCTTCTTGGAAAATCTAGTGGAGTTATTTCCCATCGCCTTCACCATGGTTTAGAATTTAGTTTTCCTTCTTAGACTGGTTGCACAAAGGTCCTTGGGAAATATATCTCTATTACTACATTTAATATGAACATTCGTTAGATATTTTATAAGCGAGAATATCGATACAGGCCTATCCTATAGTCAAGTGATTGGAAAGTTCGCTTTCCGACCATGAATCCTGGGTTCGAATCTCACTATGGTCAGTTTGTCAGGAAGATGACTTCTTGATGTTATCGGCCTGTAGAGTGTACGGCGCCTTTAGAAAGTGCCTGAAAGTGACCCAAGCCTTGTGAGTGAAATTGGGTAGACGGAACCAGTCGAACACTGTCGATAGTTGCGCTAGCACGAAGTCGCAAGTCAGCGTGATCGAGGGTTTGAGCTTACTGGCCTTGTTCAGACTGTTGATCACGCCAGACATTGAGCTCTACCCCAGAAACTGCAACTAAGGTACAATCAGCATAGTTGCAGTAAAAACTACGGGTGGATTTTGTGGGTGTTGAGTAAATACAAATGTGTCTGATTAGGCGTCTACAGTAGGAACTGGCAAGCCACTCTAACACACAGGAATACTCGGATGCAAGCCGTCAGGTATTACATTACAGATCTATTGGCTGAAGACGTAACAGTTTTTTTTCATTAAACTAGTATTTTATTTTTCTATCCTTTACTGGTATTAATTCATGACTATTTTCCATATTTGAAAGTCAGAGTTACTCCTTGTCTTTAGATTTCAGTCTAAGCTATCACTCATGTAGAGGTTGGATCACAATTACTTGCCTACATGTTTGGTCATAGAACTCGACTTATACACGAGTCTATTCAGTGTTGACGTTGATATGGATGGAAATAATCTGATTTATGGCATTTATAAAGCGCATAAATTCAATTTTTATTTGCTTTAAACAACTGGCATCGAATGATACGATTTAAGTACTGCCACTCAGCGTGAAATTATGAGTAAAATTGTGACAGGTGTTCGTAGCATTGTAAAAAACTTCTTTACACGCAAAACACGTCTATGCATTTGTCCTGAAATGTCCACGACTGACCTTAAGTCATTTGTTGCTCGCCCTATCTACCAAAGCTGCATAGGAGTTTGTAATCCAAATGATTCTTGTCATATGATTGTGCATATAAAACGAAACTATGAACTAAAATAGTGTTATTTGCAAGTACTTCTTTAACAAACCTTTGCATAACGTATATACTCGATAGGTCGCACTTACCAAAATCTCGATAAAAACAGGGGTGCGACTTATCTAATCGACATCATAGAGATTCTAAAGTTGACTGTGGAGTATCAGTAATCCAGGCGAGTACCCTGGGCTCAGACATAAGCGAGAGCAAAGGAGAAAATGAATTCTTTCCGACATTTTCGATTTTATGCAACAGTACAGCGACACATTGAATAAAAGCACTCGATTTGCATTGCTTATACTCACCATTTACGACGAAAGACTATCATTTTAAAGGGATTTTAGGACCGACGAAGTTTAATAACTATATCTAAATGAATAAACACTTTTTATGCTTTAATATATGTAAGCAGTTTTGAAATAAAGGTGAATATCTGAAAATATTTAACAAATATTAATTATATTTACTTTAAAAAGGGGCATGTAACTCCTCAGATTATAGTGAGAGTCAATCGTAAATACCCACTTTGACAACCCCAAACTAAGTGTGCGACCTATTTACCTTTATCTGATTGAGACAAGGACATTTTTTTGAGTGGCTAAATGACGTCGGACGTTTTATTGCCCTTTTAGTTTTGCTACCAATCTTTGGGCACGGTGGAGTAATGGATAGCGGCTCGGATTGAGGAATCGGAGAGCCGAGTTCGAATTCAAGCCCAATCCATTATATTCACTTACGTGGTAATACTCTTGGGAAAGGTATGAATCCTTTTCTTCTCAAGCTATGGATAAATAGCAGGACAGACCAGGTTCTATAGCTTTGGATGGCAACTGGTCTACCGCAGAAAGAAATGGCAACCTACTGCGGGAAAAAAATCTGCCTCGTTAGTCATGTAACGAAATATTCATGATCGCCTAAGCGTGTATCACGCATGGCACATAATTGACTGATCAATCTTTGTTTTTACTGCTATCCTTGTCATCTACAGATTGTTTTAAATTGCTATCCGATTCACTGCCAGAGTGAAAGACGACTTGAGATTTAAAAGAAGAAAAAAAGAAAAGAAGAAAGGGTTAAATGTATGTGTGTGTGTGTGTGTGTGTGTGTGTGTGTAGATGTATGTGTGTATTGACGCGTGTCCGAGTAGTTAGAATGTTCGCTTTCCGACCATGAGACCCCGGTTCTCACAAGTTCGATTTCCCAGGAAGGTGACTTCTCGATGTTGAGGAGGTGATACCAGCGTGTGCAACCTTTGGAAAGTTGCCTGAAAGGTTGACCCAAGTCTTGTAAATGAAAATGGGTAAACAGTTTTTCTTGCACGAAAGCACAAGTCATCGAAATCACGCCAAATTATGCGCACTCCTCCAGAAGCTGGTTTCGTCAGCATAGTATAAACACAAATATGCCCACACAACAAAGACTGGCCAGCCGCCTTAGCTAGACGAGCCGGCCATTTATGTATGCATATGTGTGTAATATTATTCCTTATTATTGTGAACATTTATTTGAAATAGACGCCCCATTTTTATCTAATTATTAAACAGCGTATAGTGCGTTTATCTGCTTACGCATTTGAGAACGCTAAACAAAGAAGGGATCGAACCTGCATCCCTCTTTCGCTCGGCCACGAAAGACTTCACAATGAGGAAGGTTCTTTTTACCTTATTTAAGGAGATCATGCCCCTTTCACATTATTTTCTAGTGAGTCCATATTTGTTCAGTATACACACTGTTTAAGAAATATATAAACAATGGGACGTCTATTTCAAATAAGAAGTATCCACTATAATTAGTTTGTCCTGGGTTCTTTAACTGGCGAGGAGAAGGGTATACATACCTTTTCCAATGGTATTAGCACGTAAGTGAATGTAATGGATCCGACTGGAATTCGAACTCGGCTCTCCGATTCCTCAATCCGATCTGTTGTTCATTACTCCATGGAGTAATGGGTAACGACGCTTATAAAATTAAAAGAAAATAAATTTCGTTTACAATATATTCTATGATACAGTCAAGTTTTTTCTTTTTCGATGCCTCTATGATTGTACAAGTCAGAGACAGACAATTAAGAACCGTTTATATTTTGCTAAAATCCTAAAAGTTTTCATTATGCGTTCGATGTAGCAATCCGAATTAGAAATCTTTGCTGTTGTTAGAAATGATGTTTTTGTTATTTGGCAATAACCTTTGTGGTTTTGTTGCCCCAGTCTATAGGGTCTGATGAAGGATTGCCATTTTTAAGACCATAAAGATTCATTTGCTTGAAACCAGTTTTAATCATTGATCTGTTAAAATTGTATATAGACTATATAAATAGTTTAGACAAAAGGAAACGAAGGAAGAAAACGAAAGAGGGAAACGAAGGAAGGAAGGAAGGAAAGAAAGAAAGAAACGAAGGAAGGAAGGAAGGAAGGAAAGAAAGAAACGAAGGAAGGAAGGAAGGAAAGAAACGAAGGAAGGAAGGAAGGAAAGAAACGAAGGAAGAAAGGAAAGAAACGAAGGAAGGAAACGAAAGAAACGAAGGAAGGAAACGAAAGAAACGAAGGAAGGAAACGAAAGAAAGAAACGAAGGAAGGAAACGAAAGAAAGAAACGAAGGAAGGAAACGAAAGAAAGAAACGAAGGAAGGAAACGAAAAAGAAAGAAAAGGAAGGAAGGAAAAAGAAAAAAAGAAGGAAACGAAGGAAGGAAAGAAAAAGAAAGAAACGAAGGAAGGAAGGAAACCAAGAACGAAGGAAAAAGAAGGAAAAAGAAAGAAAACGAAGGAAGGAAGGAAAGAAAGAAACGAAGGAAGGAAGGAAAGAAAGAAACGAAGGAAGGAAAAAAAAAAAAAAAAAAATGAAAGAAAAAACGAAGGAAAGAAAAAAAAAAAAAAAGGAAAAAAAGGAAGAAAGAAAGAAACGAAGAAAAAAAAAAGGAAAAAAAAAAAAAGAAAAAGGAAAGAAAAAAGAAAAAAGAAAAGAAACGAAAGAAGGAAAGAAGGAAGGAAAGAAAGAAAAAGAAAGAAGGAAAAAAAAGAAAAAACGAAAGAAAGAAGGAAAGGAAAAAAGAAAGAAACGAAAGAAAGAAGGAAAGAAAAGAAAGAAAGAAAAGAAAAAAGAAAGAAAGAAAGGAAGGAAAGAAAGAAGGAAAGAAAGAAAAGAAAGAAAGAAAAGGAAGGAAAGAAAAAAGAAAGAAAGAAAGAAAGGAAGGAAGGAAGAAAAGAAAGAAAGAAAGAAAAGAAAGAAGGAAAAAAAGAAAATGAAAGAAAAAAAGAAAGAAAGAAAGAAAAAAGAAATGAAGGAAAAGAAAGAAAGAAAGAAAGAAAAAAGGAAAAAAAAAATGAAAAAAGAAAGAAAAAGAAGGAAGGAAAGAAAAAAAGAAAAAGAAAGAAAGAAAGAAAAAAAAAGAAAAAAAAGAAGGAAGAAAGAAAGAAAAAAGGAAAGAAAGAAAGAAAAAAAGAAAAGAAAGAAAGAAAGAAAGAAAGAAAGAAAGAAAAGAAGGAAGGAAGGAAAGAAAGAAGAAAACGAAAGAAGGAAGGAAATGAAAGAAAATGAAAAGAAGGAAAGAAAGAAAAAAAGAAAAGGAAAGAAAGAAACGAAGGAAGGAAGGAAAAGAAAGAAACGAAGGAAAAAAAAAACGAAAATAAAGAAAAAGGAAGGAAAAAAAAAAAGAAAAAGAAGGAAGAAAACGAAAGAAAGAAATTTTTTCTAAACGAAAAAAAGAAACGAAAAGGAAACGAAAGAAAAGAAAAAAGAATAGAAGAAAAGAAAGAAAAACGAAGGAAGGAAGGAAAAAAGAAAAAACGAAGGAAAGAAAGAAACGAAAAGAAAGAAAAGGAAGGAAAAGGAAACGAAAGAAAAATTTAAGGAAGGAAATAGAAAGAAAGAAAGGAAGGAAGGAAACGAAAGAAAGAAACGAAGGAAGGAAGGAAACGAAAGAAAGAAACGAAGGAAGGAAGGAAACGGAGAAAGAAACGAAGGAAGGAAGGAAACGAGAGAAAGAAACGAAGGAAGGAATGAAACGAAAGAAAGAAACGAAGGAAGGAAGGAAAGGAAAGGAAAGAAAGAAACGAAGGAAAGAAGGAAAGGAAAGAAAGAAACCGAAGGAAAGAAGGAAAGGAAAGAAAGAAACGAAGGAAGGAAAGGAAAGAAAGAAACGAAGGAAGGAAGGAAAGGAAAGAAAGAAACGAAGGAAGGAAGGAAAGGAAAGAAAGAAACGAAGGAAGGAAGGAAACGAGAGAGGGAAACGAAAGAGGAAAACGAAAAAAAGAAACGAGCGAAGGAAACGAAAGGAACAAAAAAATAAAAAAAATAAAAATTAAAGCTGTTATATCGATCGGAGAAAATTGCTCAATTTCTCATTCAAAATTAATTTATTCATTGTGGACAGTTAGCACCATCTGGAGGAACAATAACGAATGACCCCATATGGAGTTACCCGCCATTACATATTCCGAAGATATAAAATTCTTATATTTAGTGGGTTCTGGGGCTGAGTAAGGACTAAATAGGCGAACCTTGTAGCAGGTGGTATTTGTTAGTCCATCCGTCATCAAGGCTTATCACTAACATCGACGCAGCCTTTTGAATCGATAGTTGACAATTAGACACATGATATGATTTCTAGAAGTAATATCCTTAAAACCATAGATTTTATTACCGCTAGACTGATTACAGAAGACAGACCTTTTATGTGTCGTCTACCTTTAGAACGTGGACGATCATCCATTTACTCAGGTAGGTTACTCGCTGTTTCCCTTCTGCCTTCAATATGCTCCGTGAGTCTTAAAATCTCTAAGCCCTCTTTTCTAATTGTGTGTCTCAAAACTTTCAACTATTTTTTTCTTATTCTAAGTGTCCTTTATGTTTGCATTTTCCTGAAAACTTCCTCATTGCTCATATGCTCTATCCATAGTATTCTCAGCATCTGTGGAACCAAATCCATGTTCCCTCAAGTTTCTCCTTCATTTGTGAGGAAATTATCCAGCATTCACTGCCATTTGGCAGATTAGCACTCTTTTCTTTGTTTCTAACGGAATATTCCTGTTTCTTTATACTTTGTTTAGTTTTTAGAAGGCATATTTCACCATTTCAATGCACATTAGGGTTTCTGTGTCCAGTTTTCTATCGTCTCTTAAAAACTTTCCAGAAAATATATTGTGCTTCAGAATGTATTCAGATAGAGGATTTAAAAAAAATATATATGTGTACATGAAGATATACATTTGGGTGGCTTGCCGTAGGAAATTTAGCAGTACGGTGGAGTAATGGCTAGAGGCATGGATTGAGGAATCGGAGAGCCGAGTTCAAATTTCACTCGAGTTCATTGCTTTAATGTATGTGCTAATATCCTTGGGAAAGGTATGAAGTCATCACTTTCCTTCAGTTATGTATAAATAGCAGGACAGACTGGGCGCTATAGCCTTGGTTGCAAACCAGTTTAGGAGAAGGAAAAATGAATTTAAACCACCTGCTGCTTTTCAGGTCCTACCTCTTTAGGTAGAAGAAGGTAACTTCAAAAACAAATTCACCTCGCATGTCGTCTCAAAGAAAGGAACTAGCCCCTTCAATCGTCTAATTCGAGCCACCACAGAAAATAATGGACTCCTCGGGTTTAGTACAATGGTTCATACAAGCACAAGATTGGGACACAGCACAGCGTCGTGGACCTCTCCGATTTCGGGCCATTTGTCCATAAGTGTATCACCTTCGACACTTTAGAGGATGTCGTCAGGAAATAGTTTGTTTACTAAATCATTACAAATTTGGAGATTATTTCACAATGAATGCCTCATATTGGTCGGTTTGGTTTGGTTTACGACATATCAACCTTAATGGGTCATTTAATGCCGACAACTTTTTTTACTGGTAATATTTTTTCCTCAAAAATGTATAGCTGGTAATATTTTTTCAAAAATGTATGGTTGGCAATAGTCTTTTTTTTTCAAAAACGTATTGCTGGCAATAGTTTTCTTTCCTCAAAAACTTATTGCTGGTAATATTTTATAATGCTTTTTACCTCAGTTTCGGGTTTAACTATTTGCCCATAGCTTGGACCCTAACAGATGCTACCAACCCTGGTCAGGGTGGACCAACACCAACAATTAAGAGGTGGTTCCACGCTCCTCAAAACCTCCTGATCGGGGGCCTTGCTGTTGGACGTAGCTTATCGGCTTACCCAGGACGTGGATGCAGTTTATCATCATACTCATGTTGGTCGCCTTGAATCCAAACTAAATTAAACTGTTAATAATTAAAATAGCTGTTTATATAGGCACGGGATGTCACAATTGTGATTTATTAAACAAATCTTTCATTCACTTATTCGCATTGCATACATTAGTTACTTATTGTCATGGCAAATCCTGGCCATTGCAAGATTCTAGTGATTTTAAGAGTCGACTCTATTTGAACACAGTTCAAATGCCTTCCGAGTCTATTGTATTCATTTCGTATGGGAAAAGACGCGACTCTCCTCCGAACTACTATGTATGAAATAGCAGGGCAGATTCAGTTCTCTAGCATTTGCAGGGTAATCAATGTAAGAAGAGGATAACACTGAATTTAAGCGTAGAAGGCAACGAGAGAAACTAATATCGTTTCCAAAAACAGTTCTGCCCATACAGTTTATGTTAAAAAAAGAAAAGGAAGCTATGGAGGACCATGATCGCATACGTCCTGAAAGGACATTTTTTAAAATATTAGATAGATTCTTAGCATTTGAGCAGCCAAGAAAATAGAAGCAAAATAGTCACAGATTCAGAAAGATACAATTGAAACTTTGGCGACGTATAAGGTAAGAGGGCTTAGAAAATTTGACACTGAAAGTAACAGGGGCTTTGATAAATAGTGAGTAACCTACCTAACAAGCTTGTGTAAAGCAGAACAGAAAATCAGAGGGATAGTAAGTGAACAAACATTGCTAAGAGCTACAAAGGATAGGCATCCTGGATATGACAATAAATATCCGACTCCAAGGCATCTGATAAAGAAGTTATGAGGAGCGTGGAACCAACTCTTAATTGATGTTGTTCACAGGTCCACCTTGACCGGGGGTGGTAGCACATGTCCCAGCTATGGGCAATAGTTAACTCCTAAACTGGGGTCAAAACACTATGAAAGTATAAAAATAAATTTTTATAGTAAAAATATCAGCTATACATTTTTTTTAAATTATATTATCAACAATACAGTTTTGGAAAAAAAAATTAATACATATTCTATTCATACGTTCTTATCCTAAAAGTCTTGTCGGCTTTAAATAATCCACTGAGGTTGATATACCGTAAAACAAAATAAACCAAACAAAGGATAGGAAATTGTAGAGAGCTATGATCATCCATGTTAGGAAAGGATACAGCTCATAAAATTTGTGAGACTACTCCATAACAATAATAAAACAAGTGAAATCGATCTTAGCCTCAAATTCTGAAAGAAGAAAAACAAGTTCTGCATTGATTGCCAATACTAATTATGAGAGACTAAAATATCAATAGAGTTGGTGAAATATTGCAGGAAATTTGACCTGTCAAGCAAACCATAAAGTTTATTAGCTTGTTTATTATTATTGCTGTTATATAGGAAGCGATGCGCCATAAAACAATGATTTATTCGACCTATAGGAATACATCTGATGATGGCGGTTCTCTCGATCAACAAGGATGACCACTATGTAGGTTTATACGATTATATGACTACTTAAAGCCTTTATTTTAATATTGTGTACAGTGTAGTTGAGTAATATGGTTAAGCATGGAATTGCATGTGATTTTTTATAGACCGGCTAATGATTTGCACTTTATAATACATCCTACATAAGGTGCAGTAGTGTGGGTAGTGTATGACCTCGATATACCATCGCCTAGTCCCGCATTTGGAATACGTGACTCCAGTCTCACCACCAATGGATTGGATTTTGACCAAACAGACCGCTACATTTATCTCGCGAGATAAGCAGATGCCTACTTAAATAAGTGCTTAGTTCTTAAAGAACGTATTCAGGACCTGATTGCTATTACCATGAGGGATTTTCCAAGCGTAGCTTAGATGTGGCACAAGGCCGAAAGTATGGACGCCTAGTGAAGATCGAACTCACTGCACAGTCGTAATTGTTCTAGCGAGACAAGCTTGCTAAGCATTACACCACACCGAGGTGCCCAAAATCATTTTCTAAGCGCAGTTTAGATGTAGCACAAGGCCGAAAGTATGGGGCACACAGTGAGGAACGAACTCACTCTCCAGTCGTAACTGTTTTAGTGAGACAAGTTTGCTGACCATTACACCACGTTCAGGTACCGAACGTTTAACACCATTTGCAGACTTACAGGTCATATGACAAGTTTAGCAAATATCAATTAAATTTTGGGCGTAATGTATGGAATCACATATACGACTTGTAACCGGATTCAGAGTGACATAGCCTGGAGCAACACCCATATACAAAGTAAGAATCTTTGACCACCTTGTGCGTGTGAGATTTGAGATTCTTCAGCGGATTTGACGTCAGTGGACTTTATTTTATCCCGTCCACTCGATTTTTTTCTTAGCTAGAGGTCAGTCATGGACGAACGGACACGATGCTTAAATATTAGATTTGGCCTAGGTGTTTCCCTTGCTTTAATTCTCCTGTGACCCGCTATTTTTGCGTAAAAATAATCATAAAGTTTAGCTTTATACTCGGGTATATACGATAACTAAGTCGATGTATATTAAGCAAACATTCAACACTTGGAATATCTGCACGCTGCAAGACATGTTCCAACTAGTTTATATTAAGAATGTCTCTTAAAGGACAGAGATGAAATCGCTCCAATACACGTGGCCTGCATGGGGTTCATATATACCTAAACGCATATACAAGGAAGTACTAAAAAGTTATCGGTCTACTTTTGACCAAATGATCAAAGAGAATTTAATTGGAATGTTTTCGTTTTGGGGTCAAGAACTTTAAAGTTCACACAACTGTACCTCACATAACTGGCCTCCCCACTTGCCTTGCTTTGTTGAACCTTCAATTCAAGGCAGAATTCAATTGTTAATTTAGGGCTGCACCTCACCTTGAGAGTATGTCTCAATCACGTTTTCAAGTGAAAGAAAAGAAGCAAGACTGCAAAACCGAAATCCTCCGTTTGACGGACATTTTGACGTGTAAGAACTTGTACTTACCACCGGGCGAAGGATGAACTCGTGACAAACGTGAAATCTCCCCCCAAATCTTGGTCTGCGAAATCGTGAAAGTTGGAGAGGAAAAAGACTTACACAAAGAACGATAATTTAATTTGGTAAATAAAATAAAGGTAAAGTCTTTGGAAGAGGAAAAAAGTATCAAATCTGTGTTTGACGAAAAAAAAAACAAAACAAAACAAAACAAAAAAAAAAAAAACCCAGAATATTTACTGATATTCACCATGACAGCGAATCAAGGAAAGTATTAAAACAAAACAAA